ATAATAGTAATAATAATGATGGTAATAATAATAATAGTAATAATAATAGTAATAATAATAGTAATAGTAATAATAGTAATAATAATGATAGTAATAATAATAATAATAACAATAAAAGTAAGATATAAAGGAACAGCGATGGAATGAAATGAAATGAAGCTTGCTGGGATCTAATTAAGTGAAATTGTTGACGAGGGAATGACCAACAATTATATGTGTTTATGTGAGATATTGGATGGGAGGGGTGAGAAATGGATTATGCAGCTAAATCAGGGAGATCGAAGAGGATGGAGGTAATGATTAATCCCTGATTGTAGTGAAATCCAGCCAAAATTGTCCATGCCGTGCAGGGTTGACAGGAAAGTCGGAGCTGTAAAGTGGTTTTTTACGGCCGTAAGTAGGCCGAAGCTTACCTTGTGAAGTAGTGGGCCATGCTAGTCGAAGGAAATCCAGCATAACTGAATACCTTGTGATTTAAGGCAGAAAGGATGGAATTTAGGCAAAAATCTTATCACTTTTTTTTAATCCCATCTGATCCGCTTTTGCGTAGTTTGCTTACTGCTGTATGAGTTACTAGCTGATGTATTTGTGTACCCGGGGATTTGTGTGATAATGTGAATTTTCAGAGCGCTTCTTGATGAAATGAAAGGAATTTTACGTGAAGTGATGGATCGCAAGACAGATAACAATACACGGAGGAAGAAACGGAAGGATCTCTTAAGGCTACAGATAATACGCATCCTACAGGTCAATTATTTTTTTGAGATATTTTGAGATATTTTTGGGATATCTGGAGATACGATATTATTTTTATTTTTTTTTGTGGACTTTTTAATAGAATATTTTTAAAGGTTGCAACGTTTCGTCGAGTTCTGCCATGCTCCGGTTGCATCGATTTTGGAAATGGCCTCTGTTCGGTTCTTGTGGACTTTTTTGATTCTGTGCGACAGAATCTCGAATCTGATCAGGTCTGATAGATTTTGGCTCCCGTAATTGAGTTCACTGTTAGATTTTTTGGAATTTTTTTCTAGGAAATTTTTAAGGAAAATTTTAGGAAGTTTTTTTGAGTATTTTATTTAATTAGTCTACGATTCGTTTTTTCGTTTCGGTGGTAGTATGGCGCTGATTTATGCCTGGAACTCAAATCTGTCATCAGTCTTGTATGGTAATCCTTGAAAGAGGAAGCCATCGATAACCTTGCCAGCAGATGGTTGCATTTGGCACGCGATACTTCTCTTTTCGCAGAAATTAATGAAGAAATGCGATTTTGACTTTTTTTTGAGTTTTTTTTTCTGGCATCGTTTTACTTTTTTGAGCTTTTTTTGTCTTTTCGAGTTTCCTTTGGTTTTTTTTTATTTGCGTTTGAGTTATTAAGTTTTTTATAGATATTTTGAGGAAGTCCATTATCTTTTTGATATTTTGCTGTAAAACGTGTGGCTTTGTTTCAGGATCGTGATGTTTTGTTATTAACAAATCTCCGGTTGCATTTTGCTAAAACCATAGCAGCAATAATCAGCAGCATCGCTCGTATGTCCTTATTTTTTTATTTAGTGATGAGAGGATTATTACTGGTTATTGTCTCTCCTTCACAAAGCCTTTGTTGTGTATTTCAGCTGATAAACGAAGAAATTTATTGGGGAATAATTTGAAGCAAAATTTATTCTTTCTGTTCACGTCGTGGTGCAGCAGAAGCATCGCATCATCCGATAAAAGGTATTTTCAGAATTACGATTTATCAAAATATATTAGATTCAAAACCAAACGTGAAACAGCTGTTAATCTACATTCTATTTCCAAGCTATGCAGCTAGCAACTTTTCAGTTTTTTTTTTGTTTTTCAAGCTGCATCGTCTCTGGTCATCCTTTCGGAAATCGTTAAAAATTCGTATGTCTCAACGATTTTTTCGGTGTTTTGGGAATTAAATGATGGTTTTTTGGTGGTATATCTGTAATCAGTGAACCCGAAAAACCTTGGGCTACTATTAGGTCTTTTGCCAAAACTAATAACAATAGGTAACAGAATAAAAAAGTCACTGGGAGGGGTGCAGAATATAAGCACGAAGGTTGTGCAATTAAGAAAATACGCGCAGCTGGCATGATACGAACGCAACATATGAAATTGGGATGTATTGCTCCGAACTTAGTTTCGTGAACGGAGCCTTTTTTCAAAAATTGCTCTGGACCGGCAAGGGATCGAACCACTCCTTTCCATGTCTGGATGCAATGTGTTACCACTACACCATTGTCCTTGTGCTCCAAGTTCAGCCTGGCAGCACATCTACTGTGTATCTGTCTTTCAAGGCAAGATATGTCTTTTTCTTTGTAGCGGCTTCTTGGTTGGCTTTTCGGCAGTTTTCCGCGACACTTAGTGACCTGGTATTCAGTTCTTGCATCCATTCCTGTAACATCAGTAGAACAATCTTGTTAACGAAAGTTTCGTGTGATTTTTTCGCAGATTTTGTTCCACTCTCGCTAATTTGTTGTAAAAAAAAATTTTGCTTTTTAAAGTCACATACAGTGCGTTTCCCTAGCGCTTCTGGGAAATACGAGTCATGCTCAGAAA